GACGTCACTATGGTGATGTTGATGATGTCACTGTGATGGTGATGATGTCATGGCTCTGCCCCAGCCCTGGCTCCGTGTCACTTAGTCCCCACCCAGCCCCCAATGTCCCCAAAGCCACCACGACCATCCAAGAGGGTCCCCAAAGTGTCCCTGATGTCCCCAGGGAGATTCTTTGGTGTCCCCAACCCCGCCCAATGCCCTCCAGGTGTCCCCAAGGTGTCCTCACATGTCTCAGGAATGTCCCCAACTCCCCAAAGGTGTCCCTGAGGTGTCCCCAACCCCCCCAAAGTGTCCCCAAACTGTCCTCAACCCTTCTCAGTGTCCCCAAGAGGCCCCAAACTGTCCCCAAAGTGCCCCCAACTCCCCACAAAGTGTCCCAAAGGTGTCCCCAGTGCCACCCGCAGTGCCCGGTACAGCTGGGGACAGACATGGGGACAATGGGGACAGCCCAGTCTCGCCCAGTCCCTCCCAGTTCGGGGTCCTGAGGAGCCATTGGGTCCTGGTGGGGTCAGTCAGGGTCCTCGAAGGCCCCACGCCCATCTCCAAGGGGTCCCGCTGTCCCCAAGGGGGTCCCAGTGTCCCCAGGGGGTCCCTGCTGTCCCCAAAGGGTCCCTGCTGTCCCCAAGGTCCCCCAGTCTCTCCCACCCTACACCAATCCCGGGTTTTATTCCCTTTTTTTACCTTTTCCCTCCCCTAGTGCTATGGCGACCATCCGCCCCCCCATCCCCATGGCAACGCTGCTCCCACCCCTTCTGCATCGCCATTGGCTGCTGTGCCCCGCTGTGCGAGTGCTGATTGGCTGAGAGCAGCAGAGGGCGGGAACAGGAACCCGGAAGCATCTTCACCCATGGAGAGCCCCGTTTGCGCGTTCCTATGGTAACAGAAGCCCCACCCGCCCTGTGCTGCCATTGGCTGCTGTGCTCGAGAATGAGAGCGCTGATTGGCTGGGTGTGGAGGGGGCGGGGATAAACGCGGAACTGGGTCCAAACCAGTAAAGACTGAACTGGGAGCTGGGATAAACCGGGAACTGGGCCCGAAACGGTACAGACTGAACTGAGAGTGATCCCAAACCAGTACAAGGGCTAAAATGGGAACTGGAACGAGCTGGGACCAGTGCCTGCACTGGGACAGGAGCCCCAGACTGGTCTGGGAGCCACAGTGGTCACTCCCAGACCCAGCACTGATTCATACTGGTCCATACTAGTCCGTACTGGTCCATACTGGTCACTGATCACACTCTGGTCTCTCTGACCCCGCTGTGTGTTTCCTGTGCTCCCCCAGTGGTGCCTGAGCTGCAAGCGCTGGTGGCAGCGGCCGCAGGGGAACGGCCACAGCCTGAGGGTCAGTGGGAATGGCCACAGGGGAACGGCTGCAGCCTGAGGGTCAGCGGGAATGGCCACAGGGGAATGGCCACAGGGGAGTGGCTGCAGGGGAATGGCCTCAGCCTGCGGGTCAGTGGGAATGGCCACAGGGGAATGGCCACAGGGGAGTGGCTGCAGGGGAACGGCTGCAGCCTGAGGGTCAGTGGGAATGGCCACAGGGGAATGGCTACAGGGGAATGGCCTCAGCCTGAGGGTCAGTGGGAATGGCCACAGGGGAATGGCCGCAGGGGAATGGCTACAGGGGAATGGCCTCAGCCTGCGGGTCAGTGGGAATGGCCACAGGGGAATGGCCACAGGGGAGTGACTGCAGGGGAACGGCTGCAGCCTGAGGGTCAGCGGGAATGGCCACAGGGGAACGGCCACAGCCTGAGGGCCAGCAGGAATGGCCACAGGAGAATGGCCACAACCCAAGGGTCAGGAGGAATGGCCGCAGCCTGAGGGTCAGTGGGAATGGCCACAGGGGAACGGCCGCAGGGGAATGGCCACAAGGGAATGGCCGCAGGGGAACGGCCACAGGGGAACAGCGGCAGGGGAATGGCTACAGGGGAATGGCTGCAGCCTGAGGGTCAGCGGGAATGGCCACAAGGGAATGGCGACAGCTCGAGGGTCAGCAGGAACGGCCGCAGCTTGAGGGTCAGTGGGAATGGCCACAAGGGAATGGCTGCAGCCCATGGTCAGCCAGAATGGCCACAGGGGAACGGCCACAGCCCGGCCTCAGCCAGACGTGCTGTTTGCCCTTGGGCTGTGCACCGAGCGCTTCCCGTGGTCCAGCGCAGTGCCCGGCCTCACCGGTGTGCGGGCCGTGTGGCCACTGTGGCACAGGAGCTCATTGCCATGCGGGTCCACCATCGTCCAGCTGGGCAGCATCGGGTTGGTCAGCAGTGGGATGTCCGGCGTGGTCACTGCAGCGGTAAGGGAATGGCAGCAGCTCGAGGGTCAGCAGGAACGGCCGCAGCTCGAGGGTCAGTGGGAATGGCCACAAGGGAATGGCTGTAGGGGAATGGCCACAGTCCAAGGGTCAGCGGGAATGGCCACAGGGGAATGGCTGCAGCCCATGGTCAGCCAGAATGGCCACAGGGGAACGGCCACAGCCCGGCCTCAGCCAGACGCGCCGTTTGCCCTTGGGCCGTGCACCGAGCGCTTCCCGTGGTCCAGTGCAGTGCCCGGCCTCACCGGTGTGCGGGCCGTGTGGCCACTGTGGCACAGGAGCTCGTTGCTGTGCGGGTCCACCAGCGTCCAGCTGGACAGCATCGGGTTGGTCAGCAGTGGGATGTCCGGCGTGGTCACTGCAGCGGTGGCCGGCTCGGGTTTGATGTAGAAGATGGCGGGGGGGTCTGGCGGCGTGGCTGGAGGAGCGTTGGTGTCGTTCAGCACAATCCACGTGGGGCCTTCGTTGTCATCGTCATCGCTGTCATCATCATCGTTGTCATCGTCACCGTCCTCCATGTGGATCTTGAGGATCTCCTGCGATGGCAGAGATAGGGATGTGGTGGTGGCCATGCAGAGCTGGAGGAGCTCCTCGGTTGTGGCGTGGGTGGCCCAGGAGGAGGAGGAGGAGAAGGAAGGGTTATTGTCATCATGGATTGTCCTGTCCCCACCATGGATGGTCCTGATGTCACCATGGATTGTCCCCTCAGTGCTGTGTGAACCTCATGATGACAATGACAATGACAAGGGTCTTTCTCCACTGCGGTTGAGCCACAGGGCCACAACAGAGGGTCCATGAGGAGGACAAGGATGATGAAGATCTTTCTCCACTGTGGTTGGCATGCAGTGACCCATTGGGACAGCAGATGATGTGTGACAATGACAATGGAGACCTTTCACTACTATGGACTGCCCTTGGTGATGATGGAAACCCTTTGTGACCATGGTTGGCCTTTGATGACACTGGAGATCCTTCATGGCCATGGCTGGCTTGTGATGATGATGATAATGGCAAAGACCCAGCAAGACCATGGATGATGGACTCATCTCCATCATGGACATTCCACAATGATGATGATAATGGCAAAGACCCAGCAAGACCGTGGATGATGGACTCATCTCCATCATGGACATTCCACAATGATGATGACCCTTCAGGAAGGTGATGACGATGAGGACCCTTGACAGCCATGGACGGTCCATCATGATGATGATGATGATGAAGGCAAAGACCCATCAAGACCATGGATGGACCCTTGAGGACCACGGATGGACCCATCGTGGCCATGGATGGCCTTTGATGATGACAATGACAGTGAAGACCCATCACGGCCATGGATGTGCTCATGACCATCACAGAAGTTCCATGATGATGATGACCCTTCATGACCACGGACGTTCTGTGACAGTGCTGATGACGATGACCCATCATGACCGTGAATATTCCGTGACGATGACGATGCCCCACCGTGACCCCGGCCGGCGCCATCCCCCTCCAGCTCCTGCAGGATCTACGAGCATGGCTCCACCATGTGCCACATCTGCAGTGTGCTGACCACCAGCAAACCCCACCTAGAACCCTCCAGGACCCCCAAAATCCTCCCTGGGATTCCCAAAACCCCTCCTACAATATTCCAGGATCCCTCAGGACCCCCCAAATCCTAGTCAGGACCCCCAAATCCTCCCCTCAGGCCTCTTTTTTTTAATGCCTCAAATTGGGATTAAAAGTTGACTGTCCAGGAAATTCCCGGATTTTTGCTGGAAAATCGGGAATTGCTGGAAAATCTACTTTTAACCCAATCTGAACCATTAAAATTCAGGAATTTCCAGGAAAAATCAACATTTTATGCCAATTTGGGGCATTAAAAATGGAGAATTCCTTGGAAAATCAAAAGTTTTATCACAGTCTGGGGCATCTGGAGAGTCCCAGGTCCCCTTTTTCGAGATTTCCACGTAATTCGCAGTATTTTAGGGGTTTCCAGGGAAGTCTCAGGATTTTAGGGTCAGGGTTCCATTTTTCGGGGGTTCCCATGGAATTCCCGCGATTTTGGGGGGTCTTGATCCCATTTTTGGAGTGTCCCTCCCCCTCCTCTCTTCCCCCCCCTCCCCGCCCCCGTATCCATTTCGGTTTCGATTATCGGACCTCGCCACCTGCTTGGCCACGCCCCTTTCTCCAATCCAACCAATCAGAGCTTGCAGCGGAGCCTGGGGGCCCAACCTGTATAGGGGGAGTGAATGAGATCCCAGAAGGGGAAATGGAGTCTTGGAAGGGTAAATGTGGCCTTGAGAGTGGGGGTCTCAGGGTCCTAGCAGGGAAATGAAGGTCCTGAGGGGGTAAATGGGGTACTGGAAGGGTGAATGAGGGTTCTGAAGCGTTCATTGGGGTCCTACAGATGGAATTCAGGTCCTACAGATGGAGTTCAGGGTCCTACAGGGGTAAATTCAGGTCCCCTCGGGACCCCGATTTACCCCTTCGGGACCCTAAATGACGTCTGTAGAATCCCATTTCCCCCCTCAGGACCCTCATTCACCTGCCAGGACCCAATTCACACCCTCAAAACCCCACTTCCCCTTCCAGGACCCCATTTGTCCCCATCACTATGGAAACAACATTCCTATGTGACCAGGCCTTGCTGGGTTGGTCCCTGTCCCCAAATGTCCCCAGTGACGTCACCCCAGGAATTTCCATCATGATTTGGGACAATTTTAATGAAAATTCCTAGAAAATTCCCCAAACTTGGCTCAAATCCTGTGCTGGGACGGTGGGAGGGGACAGGTGACACCAGCAATGTCTCCGATGGTGTCACCACCCCAATGACATCACAGCAGTGACATCACTGTCCCTGCAGCAGCTTCGGGATGTCCTCGGTGGCTCTTTGGCACCACTCAGCCACTGCATGGCCACCAGGGCGGCTCGAAAGGAGCCTGCGGATGTCCCCAAGTGCCCCCACCAGGTGACGCGTGGCCAGGCGGGCGCTGGCCTCCCACAGCCGCTCGGCATTGGCCACCATGGCCACCAAGGCCTCGGGGACATCGGGGGATGCCTCATTTGTCCCCTTCAGGGCGGCCTCAATGTCCCCAAGCTGGCGCTGCAGCTCCCGGGGGAACGTGGTGGCTTTGTCACACGCGGCCACCAAGCGCTCCAGTGGCCCCAGGGCTATCTCCGCCCGCTGTTCCCTCCTGGTGGCTGCCTGTGCCTTGTTGGCGGCCACCACAGCCTCTTCCATGGCCTTGGTGGCCGCCTCCTCCTCGTTGGCAGCCGCCTCCATACGGGCATCGTGTGCGGCCACCACTGAGGCCACCTCCTCCTTGTCCAGGGCCAGCGGCAGCTGCCAGGCTGTGGCCACCAGGCTGTCCAGAGATGTCCCCCAGCGGGCAGCCTTGTCTTTCAGGTCCCCGGCCAGGGTGTTGGCGGTGGCCGCAGTGGTGGCCTCCCTGGTGGCCGTGTCCCTGCAGGTGTCACGGAGCTCGGTGGCCTCCCTGGCCAGCCGGGCCCAGTTGTCCTCAAACGTGGCCACCGAGTCCCGCCAGGCGCTGGCCGCAGCTGTCACATGGGCCCAGGTGGCCCCTTGGTTGGCCCTGAGGGCGGCCAGGGCCCGGCCCAGGGAGGTGACACCGGGGTGGCCCAGGGTGTCCTGGAGGTGGCCAATGAATGTCCCCAGGGCCTTGTGCAGGGACCATGGGGACATGGCCAGCAGCACGTCCCCGTATGGCCCAGACACGGTGGCTGCCGCCTCACTCAGGGTGGCCACCACAGCCACCAGTGCCTCCAGCAGCTGTGGAGGGGACAGGAGAGGTGGCAGGGACCTCGTGGCACTTGTGGCCTCCTGGGGTGGCCCTGTGCCCTCCCAAGGTCCCGTTTGTCCCCTCCTTGGAGGGCTCTGCTGTCCCCCCAGTCCCTGTGTCACCCCCTCATCCCCTCTGCCACCCTCAGTCCCCTCTGGCCCTCTGTCACCTCCCCCCTTCCCGCCACGCCCCTGTCCCCTCCTGCCACTCCCTTTGTCCCCTCCGTTCCCCCACCGTCCCCTCCCCCCCACCCCCGTGCCGGGATTGTCGCACCTCGCGGGGCTCCATGACCGCTGGGGACACTCCGGGGACGCTTTGGGGACACTCCGAGAGACGCCGGCGGGGACGGGGGGGACAGGCCCGGGGGACACGCGGGACGCGGCGCGGCCGGATGGGGGCAGGGCGAGGAGACGTCCCCGCCCCCCCCCACGCCCCCGGGGCCAGGGCGGGTACCCGCGATGTCCCTGACGGGTCCCCGTGTCCCCAACTTCCGCCCAGTGTCCCTCCGTGTCCCGTTGGGGACACTGCGGGGACATCGTGGTGACCCAAAACGGGACAGGGGACGTCAGGGCGGCCCCGGTGTACCCAAGGGAAGGACACGAGGGTGGCCCCAAGGTCCTCAGTGTCCCTTGGGGTGTCCCTGTGCCCCGGCAGTGACAGTGCCCCCCCCCCCCCCCCCCCCCTCCCCC